GGAAGATTTGAATTTAACACCTTTAAAATAGCAACAAGCCAAAGACGCAGAGAACATATCCGCCGTACCTATGCCCGGAAATGCCACAGTTGGTTGCACACGCCCCGGGGCCCTCTGCTTTTTGGACAACTGCGGCAGGAAGAGAGAGAGAGAGAGAGAGAGAGCGCAGGAGCCGCCGCCACAGGGCGCGCAAATGGCTGCCGACATCGAGGTGGACAACAGCGACGGCGAGAGGGGCGGGCAGACGGCGGCGGGGGAGTTTGCAGAGCTTGCTCGGCCCCCCTTTCCCCCTGCGTCCCGCGGGGCCCAGGGGGAAGAGCTATCAGGGGAGTTTGCAGAGCCGCCTCGGCCCCTCTCAGCACCTGCGCCCGCTCGGGCCCAGAAGCAGCCTGCCCCTTCTACAAGCGAATCCACTCGTTTGATGCAGCTGTTCCATGAAATACAAGAACAACTGCGCACATGGAATTCGATTGGCCCTGCTTCGCACTTGCTTGTACGCCGGCGAGCAAAGTTGGACGACGCAAGCCCGATGGAAGCTGGAGGCCCCGAGGTTCGGAAGCAGCCATTGGGCGCCGATGAAGAATATCGAGAACCCATACCCGAACCAAGGTGCGTGGAAACGTTGCCCCAGGAGATCGAAGCACGAATCAATGGAACCCGGTCGGCCCTGCTTTGCACTCGCTTGTTCGCCCGATGGCAAAATTCGATGGACCTCGAGAACCCATGGGCCCCCGCGGTGAGACGGGCGAGGAGGAGGTTTGGAAAGAAGGAGGCCAACCCATCTGTTTGGAAATACTGACCCCGGAGATCGACCCGCTTGTTCGCCAGAGAGCGAAGGGGGTCTGGGAAGACGGAAGCCCCGGGTCTCAGAGGCAATCGACTGGTGCCGATGACGAATTTCGAAAACCCATGCTCCTCCATGACGACCCTGAGATCGCGACGCATCTGGGACCCCTAAGTTTCACAGCGACCCGCGAAGGAGTCGCTGAGGGCGCCATGCAAACACTGCGCACGGAAGGGGGGGCCATTGGATAATTCGTTGAAGTGCTAGGATTTTAGCTTCACAAAAGGAGGGGGGGAAGGGGGCATAGCAAAACAACTAAACGAAAAGGATGAGGGAGAAGGGAGAAGGAGAAGGAGAAGGAAACTGAGGCGAAGGGACCGGCCAAATTTCCCAACGGGGGGCCCCTCTGTTTTCTTCGCGGTTAAAGACACAGTCGTTGAAGGGCATGTCATCGGAGAGCGGGCGCGGCAGCGCAGCGGGCGAACTCTGGACGGCATCCGTGACATCACGTGAAGCAACATTGGCCACTATTTTTCTGCGGATGAATTCCGGCACCAAGTGGCCAACAGCGGCACAGTCCGCACTTTGCAAGAAGTGGAATGCGCTCTTTCGGAGTGGGAAATCGTTGGAGTTTTGGCCAGGTTGGCAGACAAGTGCTCAACTGCCGCCACGTGAAGATTGAAGCGCAGGACAACTTGCACGCGTAACTTGGAGACAAATACACATACGCAACCACTTATTTCCTTGCAAGGAGATGTCGTGCGAATCTTCAGCACGCGCCGCATGTTTCTCCAGAATTTCTGAGTTATTGAGCGCGACATTGCAGAAGACAACAAGACGAAGTGACAGGCGAGCCGGCGCGAGGTGAAGTCAACAAAAGCAAGGGCCGTGCATTTCTGAGCGCGTTCGGCGCGGGGGAAAGCATCTGTCTTGGCGCAGGGAGCGCCGATCGCACTAGCGACATATCGGAGTGTTTGGTGTTCCCATATCTTATCTTGCCGGTCCTCTTCTCCGTAGGATACAGAGAGGAATTTGGCTCGCGCGTTAAAGACGGGCTCAGGGAACCCCCCTTCCTGCGCAGGCCAGCTCGCACGCGCCATTGGCAACGCAGTGCCAGCGGCGCCGCGCCCCTTGGTTTCACCGGAGAGCTACTGACTGGCAACGCACGCCCCCCCGCGAACGGGCCGCACGCCCGCCAGCGGTGGAGGAGGGGGGGAGGTGAGGGCTTGGGGTATGAAGGGCAGCGCGCACGCCTCTGCGCAGGCTTTGGCAGTTCCCTCAATAAGATGTCTAGGTGACGTCGAGTCCGCGCTGCATCACACTCGCGCAGGGGAATTTCGCATACGCTCTACACTGCACCCTAGCGGGCGCATTGACGTCGACCCTTCTCATGCGGATGTCCTGTCATGTCCTGTCCCCCCTCCCCCTCCTCCTCCTCCTCCTCTCCTCCTCCTCCTCCTCCTCCTCCTCCTCCTCCTCCTCCTCCTCCTCCTCCTCCTCCCCTCTCCTCCTCCTCCTCTCCTCCTCCTCCTCCTCCTCCTCCTCCTCCTCTCCTCACTCCTCCTCCCCCTCCTCCTCCTCCTCCTCCTCCTCCTCCTCCTCCTCCTCCTCCTCCTCCCCTCCTCCTCCTCCATCCTCCCTCCTCCTTCCCTCCTCCTCCTCCCCTCCTCCTCCTCGCCTCCTCCTCCTCTCCTCCTCCTCCTCCTCCTCCTACTCCCCTCCTCCTTCCTCCCTCCCTCCTCCTCCTCCTCCTCCTCGCTCCTCCTCCCCCTCCTCCTCCTCCTCTGTTTTGTCCTCCTCTTGCTTCTCTCCTCCTCCACTTCCTCTTCCTCCTCCTCCTCCTCCTCCCCCCCTCCTCCTCCTCCTCCCCTCCTCCTCCTCCTCCTCCTCCTCCTCCTCCTCCTCCTCCTCCTCCTCCTCCTCCTCCTCCTCCTCCTCCTTTTACCCCGGCCCCTCGTGGAGGTCGGGGCGTGCGCAACGTTCACCCGAGGATCGCTGCGATGGTCGCGTTTCGCGCGTCGCGGTCTGGTCCAACGCGCTGTTCACCTCCATCGCGTCGCGGGGCGCGGGGCGTGATGACGGATGGCCTGAGGGCGAAAATATTCGAGGTTCGGGGGCGTCAGGCCTTTGATGAACCGATCGCTGACCGCAGCGTTCTCGCCTCGTCGGGCGGCACACGGCCGCACGCCGGTCCGCGCAATCGCCGTCGACATCGGGCACGGGCAACGTCGCGCGTTTGTACGTTGTTCCTGCCAGACAATGGCGTTGAGATGGACGATGCTTGAGCGCTGTGAGGTGGGCGGCGTTGCTTCCCTGGTTTCTCAGGTTCCACCTGGTCTAAGAGAGAGATCGGCGAGCATGTCTGCTGACCTGCCGAAGCGAGAACAAATATGATACATCCATGTGCCATGCATCCACTGGTGCGTGCAAGATCCGACACCGCGCCAGCCAAACACATTGCGTAACGACCCCTCGAACACCGCCCAGGAGGCGCTCAAGTGTGACACCTCTCGTCTCCAGTTCCCCCATGATCAACGTTCCAAACATGGTGTTGTGGAAGGATTCAGGATTACGCGGGTGCAAAAGTCACGTTGGTTCGCGGTGTTGAAGTCCCAGGAATGGCCTTTTTGCACGATTCGGGGTCATCAAGACGCATCAAACATGAAGACCCATGGCGTTAGAATCCCGAGAACAATGTTTTGGCATACTCCCGGGTCTGCAACCGGTTGTCTTCCAACGAGGCAGTTTCTTCTGTGGGAATGAACTTTTGTATGGCCCTATGAAGAGGGAGCTTGGAGGGAGGGTTTATTTCAACATCGTTGATGGTTATTGGGTTTACACTGGTCCTGTTCCTCCTCCTCTTCCTCCTCCTCTACTTATCCCTCCTCCCTCCTCCTCTACTTCTCCCTCCTCCTCCTCCTCCTCCTCTTCCTCCCGTTTCCTCCCTCCTCCTCCCTCTCTCCCTCCCTGTGTACGTTCCCCGAAAACTGACGCTGCGAAAGATTGCGACGTTGCGAACGACCACGACCAGATCTCTGGACCCTCCCCAGACACGCTTGCGTCGTAAGAAAATCCGGGCGGGAGGTTTTTGCCTTGGGGGCCCTCGCCGGGCCTCGGGGCCGTCAGAAAACGACGCAGGATGAAGAACCGGCCCCGGGGAAAGAGTCGGGGCTTCCAAGGACCACGCATTGATGAAATCAGGAAGTCACATGTCTGAGAATTTAGCAGAAAAGCCGCGCGACGCAGCAGAACAGCTGCAGAGCGAGATCACTTGTTCGATTCCTGCTATAGTAGCAGACCGAGCGCAGGCACCCGTGGATGGAAAGGCGAAGCTATTGGTCCTGCCCGCGTTCCGTCGCGAACGAAAAGGCGGAGGAGAAGAAGGAGGAGAAGAAGGAGAAGGAATAGGAGGAGGAGGAGGAGCAGCAGGAGGAGGAGGAGCAGGAGGAGGAGCAGGAGGAACAGGAGAAGGAGAAGGAGCAGGAGCAGAAGGAGCAGGAACAGGAGAAGGAGGAGTAGAAGAGGAGCAGGAGATGGAGGAGCAGGAGGAGGAGCAGGAGGAGCAGGAGCAAGAGAAGGAGGAGGAGGAGGAGGAGGAGCAGGAGCACGAGGAGCACGAGGAGCAGGAGGAGCAGGAGGAGGAGGAGGAAAAGGAGGAGGAGGAGGAGGAGGAGGAGGAGGAGGGAGGAGGAGGAGGAGGAGGAGGAGACGTGGGGAGATCGAGGCTTCCAGGAAAAGAGCGCGAAGCGGCGAGCGGCCCCCACGCTGCCACCGCTGGCCAAGAAGGTGAACGACAGGCGCACGCCTCTTCACCTCACGCTCCTCTCCTCTTGCTTCTCCTCCTCCTGCTTCTCCTCCTCCTCCTCCTCTTGCTTCTCCTCCTGCTTCTCCTCCTCCTCCTCCTCCTCCTTTTACCCCGGCCCCTCTTGGGGGTCGGGGCGTGCGCAACGATCACCCGAGGGGCGCTGCGATGGTCGCGCTTCGCGCGTCGCGGTCTGGTCCAACGCGTTGCTCACCTCCATCGCGTCGCGGGGCGCGGGGCGTGAAGACGGATGGCCTGAGGGCGAAGATAGTCGAGGTTCGGGGGCGTCAGGCCTTTGATGAACCGATCGCTGACCGCAGCGTTCTCGCCTCGTCACGGCCGCACGTCGGTCCGCGCAATCGCGGTCGACATCGGGCACGGGCAACGTCGCGCGTTTGTACGCTGCTCCCGCAGGACAATGGCATTGAGATGGACGATGCTTGAGCGCTGCCTGTCTGAGGTGGGCGGTGTTGCTTCCCCTGGTTTCTCAAGTTTCACCTTGTCTAAGAGCGAGATCGGCGAGCATGTCTGCTGACCTGCCGAAGCGAGAACACATATGATGCATCCATGCGCCATGCATCCGCAAGTGCGTGCAGGATCCGACATCGCTCCAGCCAAACACATTGCGGAACGACCCTTCGAGCACCGCCCAGGAGGCGCTCACGTATGACACCTCTCGTCTCCACTTCACCCCGAGCTCTCATGGGAGCTATTTCGGCCGTCTTGGGACTACTGTGGGCTTTTGGGGGGGAGTGGGGAGGGGCAGTCCTGGGGGTCCTTCGGGGTCATCTTGGGACGTCTTGGGGGCCCATTAAGCTGTCGTGGGGCCCTTTACGCCGCAGGCGCTAGTAGGACACAGTCGCGGAGCCCCCAACCACAGTTTCGTAATGGTAGCTGAGATTGCGTGACCCAAGTGTCGTAGTGTATGTCGTGGAGGTCCGGGTCCCGAGTGTCTGGACCACCAATACCGAATAATTATTGGCACGTGTCGAAAACGGTTTGGTCGTGGGTTTCAGCAGTTCGCTTGGACACACTCGGGGGCGTGGTGCGAAAAAGATGGTTCAACATCGACATTGCTGCTCCGAAGATTCGCATGCCCCATTCAACATCAGGGCGGTCGTGTACTCAAGGATTTTCTGCTTGACCGGCTGGTAGTAGTGGTAGTAGTAGTAGTAGTAGTAGTAGTAGTAGTAGTAGTAGTAGTAGTAGTAGTAGTAGTAGTAGTAGTAGTAGTAGTAGTAGTAGTAGTAGTAGTAGTAGTAGTAGTAGTCGTAGTCGTAGTCGTAGTAGTAGTAGTAGTAGTAGTAGTATAGTAGTAGTAGTAGTAGTAGTAGTAGTAGTTAGTAGTAGTAGTAGTAGTAGTAGTAGTAGTAGTAGTAGTAGTAGTAGTAGTAGTAGTAGTAGTAGTAGTAGTAGTAGTAGTAGTAGTAGTAGTAGTAGTAGTAGTAGTCAGTAGTAGTAGTCAGAAGTAGTAGTAGTAGTAGTAGTAGTAGTAGTAGTAGTAGTAGTAGTAGTAGTAGTAGTCACGTAGTAGTAGTAGGTTCGGTAGCGTAGGTAGTAGTAGTCAGTAGTTAGTAGTAGTAGTAGTAGTAGTAGTAGTAGTAGTAGTGGTAGTAGTAGTGTAATAGTAGTAGTATAGAGTGTAGTAGTAGTAGTAGTAGTAGTAGTAGGAGTAGTGAAATAGGAGTAGTAGAGTAGTGTAGTAGCGTAGTAGTCGTCGTAGTCGTAGTCGTAGTAGTCGTAGTCGTAGTCGTAGTAGCGTAGTCGTAGTAGTAGTAAGCAGTAGTATAGTATAGTAGTATAGTAGTAGTAGTAGTAGTAGTATAGTTAATAGTATAGTAAGTAGTAGTAGTCGTAGTAGTAGGAGTAGTAGTAGTAAAGTAAGTAGAAATAGTGTAGTAGTAGTATATTAGTAGTAGTAGTAGTAGTAGTAGTAGTCGTAGTCGTAGTCGTAGTCGTAGTAGTAGTAGTAGTAGTAGTAGTAGTAGTAGTAGTAGTAGTAGTAGTTCGGTCGTCGTCTGAATGTGTGATGCACTGGTACGAGCGTACTCGCAAGAGTTGTCGCCGTCATTGTTGTTAACACAAGTGACACGGGTCGGAAATATTCCTGAACATTCCGGCGGATTTTTCCTGGGGCCTGGTTGCGTATCGATAGCAGGGTTATTTTTGTCTGTATCAGTAGGGTTGGTGGGACTGCGTGGGTGCGATTTTCCATGTTTTTCCGGATTCTTTCACCCGTGTCCGCGCCCTTCTCCGGCCCCCTCCGCGCTCCGAAGTGGCCAGCTAGGGCGAATCAGCCAAAGAAGTAATTGACGAGGCAGCAACAAGAGATATTGCGGCAAAGGGGTGCTCGAAGCACGGCAATGCAGAAACTATCATTTCAGAAAGACCAGGATCCGAGTGCAAATCCAGGGCCTACGGTTCAAGGTCGAGCCCAGGTTTGGGGAGCCCGGGCAAAAATGGTGGTGGGGCATTTGTGTCTAAAACGACGCGCTTTTTTGTCTCTCTCTATATATTTATAGTTACACAAATATGACGAAGAAGAAGAAAACAACAAACGAAAAAAAAACGTGTTATGAAACAGCACGGTTTTCCTAAAGTTGCACCAACATGTCTTTCGTTGTGATTGCAGGGTTATACTGTTCCCAAACATTGTATGTCCGGATTATGAGAGTGGGAAATCCCAGACAATGTGGAAAAACAGAGTCAGCTACTACCCAATAGCAATCATTGAAACAATTGTTCTGTCATTGATTCCGTTGCGACCACCGTGTCTTGTGCAGCGAGTGGGCGTACACCATCCGGCGGTAAGAAAGGGAGGAGGCAATTGAGCCGTGGTACGGCACAACAGATTTTACGGAGAATATGCGGATCGATAAAATCAGGAAATCCATATTGTAGTGGCCTCCGGCCAGTGCCGCCGATCCGGGGCGCTCCGGATGATGATGATGATGATGATGATGATGATGATGCTGATGATGATGTTGATGATGATGATGATGATGATGATGATGATGATGATGATGATGATGATGATGATGCTCCCGCCCCCCCACCTCCCCTCCTCTCTCTTGTCCCCTCTTCGCTCTCTCCTGTACCTTCCCCCTCTCTCCTTTCCCTCCCCCCCCCTCTCTCTTGTCCCCTCCCCCCTTCTCTCCTGTCCACCCCTCCCTCTCCACCCCCCCTATCTCCTGTTCCCCCCCCTTTTCTCCTGTCCCCCCCGCCCCCTCTCTCCTGTCCCCCTCCTTTCCCACCCCCCCCCGCCTCTCTCCTGCCTCGCCCCCCCCCCTCTCTTCTGTCCCCCCTCCTCCCTC